AATTGCCAATTACAAAATATCTAAAACCTAACATATCTCAACATTGATATGTGAATTATACTTCACTAATAAGTATACATAATATGGAACAACCCACCTGTTATCTAAAAAATGATTTCTAATCTTCACTTTTTTACAACAATAATATTCTCTACATGACACTTGCATTATAATTCTTTTATTTTCCATCAAACCTTTATAAACATATTTATATAAATACTTAACAGCTTGAATTGATGAACATATCTCAACATTAATATGAGAATTATACTTTGTTAATAAGTATGCATTGTATGGAACAACCCGCCTGTTATCTAAAAAATGATTTCTAATCTTCACTTTTTTTTCGTTATTCGATAGTTTACACTTAGAGTAACCGTTTTCGTCAATAATTGTGTTCTCACTGAATTTTTTTTGGAAAACCAAATCTGCATTTATTTTTATTATTCATACAAACATTTTTAGGATTTAAAACACCACGTGGACAATGCAACATATGTTTAATAAAAGAGAACAGAGATAAGTATATTGAATCTCAATATTAACAAATTTATCAACCAATTCAGGAGAATCAATCTTACAATTATTTTTAGAATCAATAAAAATGCTCATTTGTGAGCTCTCTTTTTTGAAATTCTATAACATATATATGTGCAGCAACCCGTCCAAATATTTTTTTTTCCAAAATATCTTCCTTTAATTATTCAAGTTTTGCTCTAAATATATGAGCTATTAAATTAGGCATATTTTGAACTTGACATTTTACTTCAATTGTTCCTTAATTTTTGGCCAATTTGGATTACGAGTTATTGTTAAAAATATATCAAGCTTACCAAATCTCTGGACTAACAACATAGCATCGATATAATATTTCTTTTAAATCTCTAGGACCACCAATTAAGGATCGATGCAAAACAATCAAATGTCCAATTTTATTACCTCTTTTTTCACCAATTTCAAGACAATCAACAATTCCTTCATTTCCTTGCTACAATTCAGCTCGAAGTACACTCTGATTATTTTGAAAATAATCTAATCTAGATGTTTCAATTATTACATAGGTAATTTTCTATTTAGCCCTTGTTTGGTATACATTCTTTTAAAACTCATTTTCATCTACACATTTTTCAATAAAATAATATTTTTCATCATATCAATAACTTTTCCTTACTTTTTAATCACATATTTTCCATCATATCACTATTTAAAATACATTCTTTTCTCAATAATATCCATCAAACACAACCTAAGAGAGAGCATAACAAATCATATAAATATTTATAAATAAATAATTTAAAGTAGAAATGGTAGACATGTTGAGATAACCTAATGTTTCTTTCTCAATTAATTCCTCGAGCAAAGAAAAATTAATTGCATTAACAGTGTCTTCATTTCTGCAAATGTTTGGTTTCTTTTTGCCTGTATTAATTCGGTGAATACCTTGGAGCCAACCCGTTTCATTGTGAGGCAATAAAAGTGGGTATTGAAGTGGGTCAAAACATCCATAATAATATTGTATTATATTGTAATTTACATCCTTAAAATAAATCACAATATCACGCATATGAACATCAACATAGTCATCATGATCAACTCAAATAGCAGGAACTTGTGAAACATTGGGTGTATTAGATGTTCTTTAATCAACACTTAAATCAAACCGAAGTTGAATAGAATGATTTTCTAAATCGGGAATAGTTCCCAAATTTCCAGAAAAAAAAAAAAAAAACAAACTATGTAAGGATTATTCTCTAAAATGCTCATCAATTTAGTAACAAGGGATTCAACTTAACATTCACTAAGATTCAATCTAATTTATACTTCATTTCGGTATCCAAAAAGTAAAGTTACAAATGAGAAGGAAGATTGTTTCTTGAAATAATTTCATTTATAAAATGGTGCACCAAACGATTTCATAGAGAAATTGCAATTATAGCTTCACACCATATTTCTAAAGTTTAAAGATTCGTCAGAATTTGAAGTAAACAGCGTATGTAATTCTACAGGCACGTCGTTTGTTTCTAAAAGAATATGTTTATGTAAACAGCAGAATTCCTTAGTTTCTCTAAAGAATTTCATAGCTTCACAATGATCACAAATAGCCGTTTTAGGTAGCATGTAAGGTTCTTAGGAAAAATTATCATCATAGTGCCGCATATTTGAACACCCTAATAAGAAAAAAAAGAATCTCAAATATTTAATATTCAAATAAATATTAACATTACATTTTTTTTCAACCAATTTTAACATAAAAGATATAACAAAACACACAATAATAAAATGAAATATTATAGTACGATTCTTACCAGAGTTTTGACTCTTTTTTCTTTACATTGTTCATCGTATGTATTTTCTATTAAATTATTAACATGTCATGCTCTTTTACCACGAAATTTAGTTACCAT